TTATGTGTCGCCATGAGGGTGTAGGAGGTTAAGAGGTGATGGCTGGCTCGACCGCCATCGCTGAGCCGCTGCCTTCACTTGTTGTGTTGTCATTTCGGCGACATCGATGGTGGATGTGAATGCATTCCACAGACGTGCTGCTCTGGCAGAGAAGGTGCGCTGATGCTGGCTAGACCGCGACCTCGGAACTTCCACCAGTAGCCGATTAGAGTGTACCGTCCTCGTACTTCTCTCTCGGCCGTGAGGTGGGAGACGGAGGCTCCTTAGATGAGGCACCTGCTGCACCTGAGCCTTGTGGAGCACCGTTAGAGCCCCGACGTCACGACGATGTTCCAGCGCGTCGATGTGGGGAAGATTGGTGGCTTCCTGGATAAGCCTGAGAGCCCGTTTTTCTATTTTATCCAGCTTGTTGAGGCTGGTGGCCGCAGTAGACGACCATGCCAACGAGGCATATTCTAGGTGTGGTCTGATCTGGGACTTGTATAGCGTGAGAATTCCCTGAGGATTCAGGAGATGAGATATGCGTCGAAGGGCTGTCACCTTCAGGGAAGCTGTTTTGCAAATCCTGCTGACGTGTCTGTTAAATCTTAGACCACTGTCTATGTCAATACCGAGGACTGAGATCAAGTCCTCGAGTGGGAGGGCGGTGTTGTTCATTAAGATTGTGTCTTTCATGACGCCTGATGCAGCTGGAGAGCGGGATATAACCATTGCCTGGGTCTTGTTGGGGGCAAATCTTATTTGCCATTGTGATCCCCATTCGTAGATTGCTTGCAGCTTTGAATTCATATTCGTTGCTACAGCGTCATGGTCCTCACGTTGGTATGAAATAGAAAGTGTACAGTCATCGGCATATGCATTGATTTCAGGATGTTCCCTCAGCATATCATCAATAAAAATATTCCAGAGGATTGGGCCAAGTACAGATCCTTGTGGTACCGAAGCCTCTACCGGATATTTCTCGGATGACTGGCCACCGATGACCACTTTAAGTGTTCTTCCAGTTAGATAATTATCAAAGAGCCGCAAGAGGTTACTGCTTATGCCTCTTGCTTGTAGTTTAGCTAGGAGCCCTCTGTGCCACACTCGGTCGAAGGCGCCGGCGATGTCGAGGGCGATCACCAGAGTATCTTGACCGGCATCAAGAGCATCCTGCCAGTTTTTACTCAGCAGTAGAAGAAGGTCAGCAGTCGATCTTGGGATCTAAAACCAAACTGTCTGGCAGAAATAAGATTGTGGTTTTCCAGGTGTTTCATGAGCTGTTCAGCAATAATCTTGCTGATGCATGGCAGAAGGGAGATGGGCCGGTAGTTCTCTGGATTTGTTTTTGACTGTTTTTTATGTAGAGGAATCACTCTTGCTTCCTTCCAGATAGTAGGCCAGCAGCTTTCTTCAATGCACGACTGGAAGATAGATGATAAAGGCTGGGATAACTCAGCTGCACACCTACGGAGAATATGTGGGCTAATATCATCTGAACCTGGGGCTTTCTTTGTGTTTAGGTTCAGAAGGATCTCTCTTTTGTTCTGGTGCGACAGATTTGAATACCAGGGAGTTGTTCATGGCACATTGAGGGTATCTCTGGTGGTGCCCTGTTAGCATCTGGCACTGTCATTTTACAACTGAACATGCTTCCCAGAAGGTTAGCTTTTTCCCGGTTGCTCGAGGCAGTTGTTCCATCGGGCTTGGTTAGTGGAGGCATTGTGGGTTCCCGGGTCTCCCCTTGGTGCTCCTTGACGAGCGACCACCACTCCTTGCTGCCTGCTCCTAAAATTGACAGTCTGCGCTTTGTATCCTCTTGCCAGCTGTTGCGGGCCCATTTGCACGTGGCTGTCATTTCTTTGCAAGCATTTTTGTACAGATGTTTATTGTGTCTTGTGGGATTGGCTTTGTACCTTTGCCACAATCTGTATTTCTTTTTGGAGGCTTGATGACATCTGTAGCCAAACCAGGCTTGGTCCCCCGGTTCTGTGATATATGTCCGTGAAGGGACGTATTTCTCCTGCATTTCAGTGAGGAGGCTGATGATGGAAGATGCTTTGTTGTTTGCATTCCCCACCAGGAGAACATCCCAGTCTTGTGACTGAAGTTCTGCCTTCATACCTGGCCAGTTTGCATGGTTCCAAATCCATGTTTTTCTTTGTCTCCTTTCATCAGCTGCGGGGGCGAGGCAAAGATGTGATACAACTGCAAGGTGATCTGATGTCCCTATATTGCCGAGCGATGAGCAAGAGATAAAGTCCTCAGTTAGATCAGATATAACAGGGTCGAGAGATCTACCGAGGATGTGCGTCGGGAAATCGACGTAATCTGTCAGCCCGTGAACTGTGAGAAGGTCCTCATATGCTGACTGGATGAGATGGTGATTGAGGTCCCCAACTATTAAGAGATGCTGACAGTTGTTCCGAGCCTGAAGGACGTCTAAATTTTCCGTTAGGAAGTCCATCGGTGCCCTGCCTTGCCACTGCGGCCTGTAGTGAGCGCAAAGTAGTAGGGACTCATTTGATTTCAGCATGACCTTCATAAAGATGGCTTCCAGCCAGTCTGGTAAGTCGACTGTTAGCAGCTGAATTTGCAGGTTCTCTTTGTAGCACACAGCTACACCTCCAAAGTTCTTTCCTGTTCTGTCTCTTCTTTGCCACTGTGAATAGCCTCGTATTTTACCAAAAGCAGGTTCTACTTCTGCATTAAGGAAAGTTTCAGTAGCCACAATTATATCGGCACTGATGTTGAGGGCCATGTGAGTCAACTCACCAATATTGGTCCGGAGGCCTCTGACGTTAGCAGACAGAACTGAGAGGTGTCTCTGCTTATTTCGAGGGGTCATTTAGTATACTGGCCCTTGGTGGTTGTTGAAGTTGTGATGTGACCAAGAAGGAACAGCGAGTTGATGAGCGGTCCAGTGTGGGGGTGGAAAGAAATAACGCTGCTGAAGGGGTGGAGATGGAAGTAGAGGTTGAGGGTGAGCTGCTGTTTTCTGTGTTTGGCAACTTCGATATTCTAGCATGAAGCTTTTTAGCTCTCTTTCGAGCAATTCGGCCTTATCTGCCGAAGCCTTCCAGCTGCAGCTGTTCAGGGTGTGGCCTCTTGCCTTACAAAAGTCGCAGGGGGCCTTACTACGGCAGTCCCGCTCGGTGTGTCCTCGCCGTTTGCAGCGTGAGCACACGGGAGGCTCTGGTCTCTTCTGTTGCGCTCTCCTTCCTCCCTGAATCTGCTGTCGAGTCTCTCGTCCCGTCTCTGATCTACTGGGAGGCGTAGGCAACTGAGCTCTTTGAGCAGGATTCTTTTTACCGATGGGAGTATGATCCCACCAATCTTGAAGTGTTGGATCTTGCTGAGTTTGTGTGGAAAACTCAGCGGAGATTCTGTCAGGTTTTGCAGTTACAGCTTCAGCTTTCACTGAAACAGAGCAGTCTGCAATAAGCTCCTTGGCAGAAAGGATGGTAGCAGGAAGATCAGCCAGAGAAAGGCTGCCGTCCACGAATACCAAGAGCTGCTTGACTAACTTTGATATCGTGGCCTGCTGTGACTGGATTATCGTGATATAATCCTCTTGTTTAGTCAATTCGATTTCAGGAGAGAGAGTGGCTTGATCTGTGTGAACGTCCTCCTCATTGATGGCTATCACACTCTGCGTGATCCCTTGCAGCTCCCTTAGATGCTGCATCTGCGAGCAGTGGAAAGACTGCGAGGGATCCACGCAACTTGGGTGGCAGACGTTGGGACGCTCGGGAGAGCACAATACTATTTCGCTCTTTTTGGTGGATTTTCCACACACGCAGCAGAAATTAGGCGGCGTGTGTCCTCCGATGCCTTCGATCCGCTTAATTTTCTTGTGGGCGTTGGTGATGGAGTTCACGGATGTCATCGTGATCGTGGCGGAGAGTTATTCTTGGGAGTGGGGGGCGGGGGCGTATGGCATGCTCAGGGGGGCCGGACGGTGTTAGTTCACCCAGGGTACTGTCCCTGCGGAATCCCCGAGAGCTGTATCACACACCAGTTAGAGAGGGGGTATTGGAGAAAAGATTAAGTAAAAGAGAAAAGAAAAATTATGATGCGAGTCATAAGAAATATGAAGAGAAAAGGTGTAGCACGGAGATGTTGGAGTCGCTTGGGGAGAGGACGATGGTGGTGGTGAGGTCTGAACTGGCAGTTTGCTCTTCAAACTAGCGCTTGACAGGTAGTTTGCCAGGTCACCGCGGTTGGAGGTAAACACGGTCAGGAATGTCGAAAATAACGGTTATCAGTGATAGAAGATTATAAAAAATCTTCTTATGTGTCTCCTGTTCCGTGATTTAAGTATTCAGAACACCTTCCATAGGTATTCATACAAGTGTATGCCAAGCTACGGAGATCACAATAACGTATTGTAATGTGCAGGAGCTCCAGTGCCGTGTGTACGTGCGTGGTCTCTCTCTCTCTCTCTCTCTCTCTCTCTCTCTCTCTCTCTCTCTCTCTCTCTCTCTCTCTCTCTCTCTCTCTCTCTCTCTCTCTGTCCCTCCCTCTGTCCCTCCCTCTCCCTCTCTCTCTCTCTCTCTCTCTCTCTCTCTCTCTCTCTCCTCTCTCTCTCATCTCTCTCTCTCTCTCTCTCTCTCTCTCTCTCTCTCTCTCTCTCTCTCTGCCCCCCCCCTCTCCCTCCCTCCTTCTCTCTCTCTCTCTCTCTCTCTCTCTCTCTCTCTCTCTCTCTCTCTCTCTCTCTCTCTCCCTCTCCCTTTTACTACTCCCTGTCACCAATGTTTAGAGGTTCAATCTCTCTCAATCTATAACCCTTTACACTGTGTCTCTCCTTGTCTGTGTGTCTGTCTCTCCTTCTCTGTGTGTCTCTCTGTCTGTGTGTCTGTCTGTCTCTCTCTCTCTGTCTGTTTGTCTCTGTCTGTCTGTCTCTCTCTCTCCCTGTCTGTCTGTCTGTCTGTCTTTCTCTCTATCTATCTCTCTCTGTGTCTCCCCCCCCTCTCTCTCCCTCCCTCCCTCCCTCCCCCTCTCCCTCTCTCCTTCCCTCTTTCTCTCTGTCTCTCTCTCTCTCTGTCTCTCTCTCTGTGTCCCTCTCTCTCTCTCTGTGTCCCTCTGTCTCTGTCTCTCTCTCTCTTTCTGTCTCTGTCTCTGTGTCTCTGTCTCTGTGTGAGATTCAACATCTGGACCTGATCTCCCTCCAGCTGGCCTGACCTGACCTCCCGAGAAGGGCTACCCCCCGGGGCGAGGCAAAAAGGGAAAAAGTGACCATTCTCAGGCCCATGGGCGCCCGCTGCAGGGAGCCACGCCCTGGGCAGGAAATAGGGAGGCCACGCCCACGCGAAGGTCGGGCATTGGCAGTTTCTTTAGCCACGCCCCTGTAGCTCCGCCCCTGAGTTTTTAGCCACTAAACTTTTACTATCCCTGTTACCAATGTTTAAGAGGTGTTTAAATAACCCTTACATTCTGGTGACAGCGGTGGTTGTTGCGTGTCAGGCCAGCTATCCACCCCTTCCCACAGTCTTACATTCTGGTGGCAGGCGGTGGTCGCTGCGCCCTTTCGGCCGCGCAGCCGAACTAAGCTTTTTCCGAAGACAAACCGCTCGGCTTCGAAAAACGCAAGATGGCATCTTCAAAAAACCGTGGGTACACATTTATGGGCCCCTTCTCTTTTCATTTCTTTTCTGTTTTCCTAAATGTGTTAGGCCATGTACAGCCAACTCACGTTAGTTTTTGGGTTTAAAGTGCTAAGTATAGCAATGGCATACTCTCATTCTCATTTCTCATTTTCTTGACCTGACTTCTAATTACTGTAAATCGCGGTATGGAGTTAAGCAGCATGAAATCGTTCATTTATTAAGCGTCTATTTGATTTCTTTTCGTGATTAAATTATATTGTTTCAATCATGCGAATTTAGCGCGTTCGTGAATTATTCTTTCACGAACATTCACTCATTAAATTCTTCTCTCTCCATTTCCTGTTTTGACCTGACCTCACGTGGAAGTCATTAAGTCAGCCTGCCTAAACAGCTGGTAGCTCTGACCTGACTTGACCTTGAGTGATTGTCACAGTGATATGGCTGAGAAAACAGCTTGCGATTCCCTTTAATTGTTTGAACTAGTTGTCACAATATAGGGTTAATGCATAGCAATCCGTTGCATGTTCATGGTGACAAATTCTATCGGCGCTAGAACGGAACTTGTAACGCGACACGTATTATTAAATATAACGTCAAGAGATAGCCTCATACATAGTGTCAGAGTGTCTGAATACTTGGGGTTGCATTTTTATGCGTAATGTACTCGGCGTTAGACGATGATAGTTCCGACAATGATAGTATGTTAAAGTAACTGAAGTAAATCATACGTTCGGCAAACTTTGAGCTAGGGTGACCGCAATTATGTCCATTAATTTAGGACTAGGATTTAAGTCTGATTTTGGATCCACTTAATTAATCACAAACTGCTCACACTTTTAGATGTCTCCGTCATGTTGGGTAAAATCCCATCGGTTCGTGATTCATGATAAATCCCCGCAGGGCATTTCATGAGCGCCCATCATAGATCCGCAGATAGAGTGGGTAATTTATAGATTTTCCAGCTCGTTTAAGCTTCATAGAATACGGCAATTTTTGGGTCGCGTCCCCCCGTCAAATGAAGTCTGCATGACCGGTAAGATTCCTATTTCCTCGGGGAAATTCTCGAGAAGATTTGCTCGCGAAAAGGCTTGCGAATAATTTTCACGTCACCATTCATTAATGCGTCATTTTGTCGCATATCATTAAATGTTAAATTCAATGCGATACTTGAAATAATTTTGAATTACGTCTATAAATAATTAGTCACATTGTTAATATGAATTTTATTCAGCGTGTTGGCAACTCTACTGCTATGAGGTCACTCTTACTTCCATTTAACACTCATCAATCACTGTCACTCAAACATGCACACATACTCACTCACTCACCGACGCAGACAAAAGACACTGAAACCTTCATTAATAGGATTTGCTGCTGTCTTAACTGCAGGCTTACGTATTTGTTTGCCGCAATATTGTTAGTCGTGATGCGTGACTTGTACATGATTTCGTATTGACATACTTTTCCTTCTGTTTCGACATTGGTTCAAGTAATTCCTTGCGGAATGCCAATTGTCGTTTCCCTTACTTTATCATTTCACGAGATGATGGTAGCTCAAGAGGATCCTTGCGGATCGCTACCAACGTCTCCCTCTCTTATTTTCTTCTTTTCACTAAACTTGGTGAACACAAAACACACGAAAAAACGAAAATAACGAAAATTCAACTTTAAAAACTGCAAATTTTGAAACGAAAATCGGCTTCTAGCTTTTAACACCTTCTCTTCTCTGTCGTTCTTCCTTCTCTCACTATCTGGCCCATTATGTGATATTCTGGTTCCCGATATCTGAAACGGCACCGAAGGAGGCCCTGCTGCAGAAACGGTCACCTTCGGAAGCCATTGGAAAACGTCATCGGAGGATCGCCGCTCGCCAGGACACCCGAGATCCAGCGAAGACAGGAGCTCGCCAGTACAGGTTGCCGTCCCTATGATGCTATGGACGGGCGCCGCCTGCCTGGACGCCGCAGACTCATTCAAACTCCAGGAGCTCATTAGTGCAGGTATCAGCCGCCCTACGATGTCGACGAGGACGCTGCCTGCCGGACGCCCGTAGATCCTGACGAAGATTACGAGGACGTCTGTACGAGCGCGTAGCCGAGAAGGACCTGGACGGAGATCTGCGAGACGTGCATTGGATGAATAAGCCGCCGAGTTTGACCTGCAAGCGGACTACGAGGATGTCTGGTCGAGGACCTGTGCGAGGCCAATCGAGGACGTGAGGATGTCGAGGACGAACGAA